CCTCCCCCGAATAACCTCCTCCCTGGGCCAAAAGGCTACCATCTGCGCCAAGCGCGACGACCTCAACTCCGCCCTCGCGTACGGAGGCAACAAAACCCGGAAGCTCGAGTACCTGGCCGCGGACGCACTGGCCCAGAACGCCACGACGCTGATTTCCATCGGCGGCGTGCAAAGCAACCACACGCGGCAGGTTGCGGCGGTCGCGGCGCGACTGGGGCTCAAGGCGCGGCTGGTGCAGGAGCACTGGGTGGACTGGGAGGATCCGGGGTATGATGTTGTGGGGAATATCCAGTTGAGTCGGCTGATGGGGGCGGATGTGAGGATGGAGGACGCCGGGTTTGGGATTGAGCATAAGGAGACGCTGAAGAATCTCCGGGAGGAGTGTGAGGCGAATGGGGAGCGGCCGTATTATATCCCTGCTGGGGCGTCGGATCATCCGTTGGGTGGGTTGGGGTTTGCGAGGTGGGCGTTTGAGGTGCGGGAGCAGGAAAGGGAGTTGGGGGTTGTGTTTGATGATGTTGTGGTTTGTGCGGTTACGGGGTCGACGATGGCGGGGATGGTGGCGGGGTTTAAGTTGATTGAGAAGTTGTATCCTGGGGAGAAGAAGAAGAGGGTCATTGGCATCGATGGGTCGGCGAAGCCGGTGGAGACGAAGGCGCAGGTGTTGCGGATTGCGAGGAATACGGCGGTCAAGATTGGATTGAAGGAGGAGGATATCACCGAGGAAGATGTGATTCTGAATGAGGACTATCATGCGGGCACTTATGGCATCCCCAACAAGGGGACGTGGGAGGCCATTGAGTATGCCGCGCGCATGGAGGCCTTCATCACGGATCCGGTCTATGAGGGCAAGAGTTTTGCCGGGATGGTGGACTTGATCAAGAAAGGGGAGATCACCGGGAATGTGCTGTATGCGCATTTGGGTGGGCAGTTGGCACTCAACGCGTATTCGCGTATCGGGGAGACGAAATAGGGAAGAGTTATTATGGTCAGATATTACGAATCAGAATACATGCATCTACCAGAGTAACTACAGGGGATGAAAATGTAAGAAGGCGAAATCAGTCTGCATTCAAAGAGTGACTATAGTTGGAGAATGTGTGGTAATGCGGTATTAGATACCTAGAACAGCTTGTGCTCCAAGGTCATGTCCGATTCGGGCTGAAGGCCAACGCAGGCGCGGAAGATGTTGGTCAAAGCATTGCGCTGCTTGTTGAGCGAGTTGACGACCGGAGTTCCCGGGGGAGTCAGGGGAGCCTTGAGCATGTAGCTCAGCACGCTGAGCACACTGTGGAAGCCCTTGTAGTCGGCGGCCTCATCCGCCTTCCAGCTGACGCGAGTCATCATCTCGGCAAGCACAACCAAGTCGATGATCAGAGGGGAAGCCAGCAAGGAGTCCTCACAGATGTTGAACAAGCTGATGGTCTGGTGACCGCCCATGAAGATCTCAGCGTAGTACTCATCCAGAGCACGCTTGTTGTCACCCACGGCCGGCATGTACTTGATCACCACAGTGTGGTCCGGATGCTCATCCTTCTCGTACAGGATGTGGTTGGCAGCAACCATGTCATCAACCACGTTGGACTTGGAGATCTCCTTGGAGCGGAACTGCTTCTGGGAGCTCAGGTTCTTGCCGTCGTTGTTGCCCAGGTGGTTGTAGCTGGCAATGGAAGTAAGCTTGATACCGGCGTTGATGAGGAAGTCCACGAGAGCCGACTTCATCTTGGTCTGGCCCGACTTGAAGTCGTCTCCGCCGATGAAGGCCTTGTGCTTCTCGGCCAGCTCAAGGGCACCGGGGACGAAGGTGTTCTGGGGAGAGCCGTTGATGAAAGGAGTGTTCTCCAGGATACAGGCGACCGCGAAGACGGTGGACGGGGCAACCTCCTCGTGACCAGTCTTGATCGAGTTGAGGAGGTTGTCGGCGGTGTCATTGACACCGGGCACGATGTCGGCGTACCGCTCGGTATTGGCAGTCCACATGACAATCACCTTGTCCAGCCCGTGCTGAGCCTTGAAGTCACTGTTCCTGTTAGCAGGGTGAAAGTGAGCGCAGCTGATAGGAACTCACCGGATGTCCTGCTGAATCTTCTCCACGTGAGCCCAGCAAGCCTTGGTTCCCTCGAGGACGTTGTCGGCACGGTCCTCCTGGTTGGCAGCAATGAAGTCGGGGTAGTAGATACTAGGCAACGGCTTCATCTCGGCCATCTCCTTGCGGACCAACTGCTTGAGAGAGGGCTCCAGGACCTGGGCCCGGTCCATGGCATCGGCGATGTTCATGCTGCTGATGTCCCATCCGCCAATAGCGAGATCATTGGGGTGGACCATTGGCAGCATGTCATGGAAGGGAATGTTAATTTCCTCACCAGTCTTGGGGTCAGTTCCCAGCTTGACGGTCGAGCTCATGACAACAGATCCGTAGTAGTTGGCAGCACGCATGCCCTCACGGGTCTCCCACTGGAGGCCACGGCGGTTGGCAATCATACCGGCCGTCACAGTGGAACCGTTGTTACCACCCCAACCGACCATCATCATACCAACTTTGCCCACTTTGCGGTCGACCTTAAAGTGGTAGGTGGTCGCCTTGGGAGTGGCAACCAGCTTGTTGTCGGTGGTACGGGTAATGTCGGTGGTGTGGTAGGCATACTTGCTCTTGATCTCATTGTCGGTGTACTCGACGTTGGGGGAATCGACAGTAAACAAAGGGGAGGATTGAGCCGACCCGTTCACGGCGCCATTGGCAGCAACATCCGAATTAGCGTGGGGAGCCATTGCGTTCACAGAGCAAACAATTGACTAGGATGGCGAAGTGGGATGTTGAGTGAATTATTTAGTGGGTGTGTAATTCGTAGGCCGATGTCCCTCCACGAGAGGATGAGCGCCGGCCGTTGAACGGGTGGTGACGCCTGCCATTGGAGTTAGTCCGAGCACATACGCAAGGCGAGGAGAATGCCACAATGTTCTCTACCAAGAGACGAGCTCGAGGAGGGAGGACAGAGAACATGATTGCGGGGAGACTTACGAGTTAAGGAGTGTGCCGAAAATTTTGGCGGTTTTTGGCGAGTACGCCTTGGAGACAGTGATCTCAAAGAATTGAGAAAGTGAGCTTGAAACGAAACGAAGAGAGTTACGAGGTGAATGGAGAGAAAGACCAGTGGAGGAAATGTTGGCGGGAGAGTATTTAAGGGAGAGAGCGGGACAGATGCGTCCGGAGTCACGGGCGTCCCTCCTCCGCACCCGCACCCGGCAATTTCCCTCCCCAACGTCCAAGACGGATTAGCTCTACTTAGTCCAGTCTTCCTCGCCGATTTAACTTTCTAAGCGACCGAAAAGAACAAGCGGTCAAGATTGATGATCGAACAAGTGGACGAGTGGAATGAATGTCTGCCCCTCCATGACCCCTCCCAAACCATTGATCCCAACCATTGAGTTGTCTCTACCCTACAGACTCGAACAAAGGACCATGTTGTAGAGGCGTATACTGGGGATGTTATGCACAACATTGGATAGTCTAGTGCGACCTCACGTTGTGGTGGTGCTGTCGTCCACGATTCGGTGTCCACATTTCATGACTTGCTCTCCACTCGGAATGGCTGCCTAACGTTTTTGGTTCTTTCGGCTAACCGCTTGATGATGCAGGTCCGTCACGTTTACTCCACCGATCCCTGTCAACGCTAAGGCTAGAATTTGGCCAACGCACACTGTTGGAAAGAAAGAACAATCTCAATGGGGTGGTTTATAGGGCACAACGATGAAAGAGACAACGCCCTTTCTTCCTTCATGCTCCTATCCATGACATGTGATTTTCCTCCGCCAGAGAGACGCAGGGCACTGAATGGTCTGCGCGTTTTCCATTGTGGGTCGGGCGGGCATACCACAGGGACCGCTAAGGGCGGCCTCTCCAGAAAAAGTGACTGGGCAAGTCACTCGGTTCAGAACAATTCATCACCAAGAACATGGTGAGAATATGCGAGTTGCCCGAAATCACGAAGAACTCGACTCCTGGGATTCATGGAGTGCGCCCATCGCTGCATTTTAGGACAACTCATCCCCCTGACGTTGCGGTGAGCGGCGGAAAGCTCGGCACGGCGTCCCATGGTTGCGATATTACCCCTGATTCAGCGACCGCACATTTGCTGTTTGCGGAGCGCTTCCAAGTGGGTAAAGGTATAACCTGACCCTTCCCCAGCGACATTCCCTGGGCGTCTCAGAACTAGAGATAGATTGGCTGCTATTCCGCGCACCTTCTCTTCGGGCAAAGTACTCGGTACCAAATTTTTTCTCATCGATGATGCATTGTTCCTATAAATTAGAGTATACAATGACGCAAGGGACACATCGAGGTCTGCGATGGTGGTGCTTAGTCAAGCTAGCTGAACTTTCTCCCAGCGATAACTGACCACCGAATCCCAACCTCTCAGATGACCTGTCCAAGCTTGTCGACGTTTGCTCTTTGAGGAATTGTCTTTGAAGACTGACGGGCGCACCACTGCATGGTTCTTTAACTAGCGTTGCGACTATTTTTCGAATACTAATTCTAGAAAACACGATGCTATTTCGGGCCTGACCCCCGTTTCAAGCCGACGTTCCGCACCATTGCCTGAAACGAAGACCCAAGATTGGGGGTCTGAACCGGGGCGCAAATCATCGAAGTTTGAGAGTGAGACCACTGGATGTAAAGTTGCAAACATTAGATAAGAGTTTCCCATTGCTGGGGCCCGCTCCAACGATCCATGGTACGGGCACACTGGTGTGTCCCAGGTTGAATGGTTCGATCGCGTTGTCTCATGGCTTGGTCTCAAAGAATGGGCAACGACTATCGAAGTTTGACTGGTTATCATCCCATCATGATAAGCCAGTGAGCCATGGTGCAGGGATCGTTGATCTACACAAACAAGAATGAGGAGATTTTAGGGGACCGGGAGGTGTCTGTCTCGCCCAAGATAGAAACCACTATCCGGTCTGGGTTCCAATTGACAAGCCATAGTATGTTCGCCGGAGAATTTTCCATCGACCCAGAAGAGGAACTGTGTCTTATGACAGGTCTGAATGGGGTTTTGTGCACCATGGGGAATGCCTCGACAAACTCTGGCCCCTTACTGTGTACTGGAAAACGCTCCGGACTTTTCTCCAGCCAATGGGGTCTGTGTAAGCTTATCTTCTACGCTGCAGTGCTACGATTTGGATTGTTGAATCTCCAGAGTGTAATTGGACAGGATTCATAGTCGTCGAGCAAAGGGGATGGGGTTCCATGATGACATCGGGGAAGGGTACAAAGCAAAGTCAAAAATGGTAACCATGAAAGTAATAATAGTAATAATAACAGCAACAACGACAACAATAACAATCACAATGATTGGGACGGGCGCGTGCACTTAGCTTGGGAGCCAAGATCAGGAAGGAAACGGGGCGATCAAATGACAATGACAAGAGGGTGTGCTGCTCCGTAGTGTTATGGGGTCACGGTTGTTGCCCCTGAGGAAGATCTGCGCTGGTTCAGGGGTTTCCAAAGTATATCCGTATGTTTGTCTGGAGTACGGTCAGCGTGGTGACATGCAGCATCACGTCAGACTGGACATGGTCAAAACTCCGCTCGGAAAGGGGGCGAAAGAGAGGTGAAGGATGTAACGTTATATTAAAACTAAATTGAGAGCAATATTGATTGAGGTTAGTTCGGAGGTGGCCGTCAGCAACAGATAGAATTTAAATATATTAGGTCGAGGTTGATATCCATAGTCGATATTCCGTCACAAAGAACGCGTGTTGCCCTGGGCTCGCCGTCAGTGACCAATCCCGTGACCCGAGGCCCAGCCCACCTCCTAAAGTGGACACACGGATACACGAGGAGTTTCTGCCGCCGAAAAAGAGAAAAAAGAAGAAAAAAAAGAGTAGCGTCTCCACTCCCACTGCTACTATTCTTGTCTAAGTTTGGTTCATTTGTTAGTTCGTTTGGTATCCTCTCGCTCTTATTCATAAAATCACCCTCCGCCAGCATTAACAAGTCTCCCATGATTTTCTAACGGAATTTAGACCCTGTATTTCAGCTGGCGTGCTATGTGGTGTTGGTTCCTGGGGTTGAATAGCACCGGCGACCCGTTATGAGCACGAAAGACGCACAATCCACAATCCACTCGCAGAACGGTCTCTTCGACCCTTTTCTATGATTTAATCGTCGCGCAACGGTTCTCGGGACCCCATCGTACCGGTTAACATGGCTGCGACCATGAATATGGGCTTGTTGCCCACCATCAAATGCTCGAATTGTGGGATAAATGTCGAGATCTCGGTAATGGGTGACCATGTCTGCGCACCTCTGTCCGGTATTTATCTCCCCTCGAGGATCCAGTAGTTCATGCTACTGACCGGTTGAATAGTATCTTCATCACCCCCTCCGCCACCACCGAAACAACACAGTCCATCGAAAAGTATAGGGAGATCAGGCATCCCACCACCGATTGATCCTTCTAAAGCCAGTACGTTCATCAGTGACAAGTAGTACGTCCCCAGACCTATTTCTAACCCCAATAGATCGACCATTTATGCGTCTGGAGGCTGTGATCAGCAATAAGGGTAATATCACCCCGTTTCCAGATGGCCAGAACTCCCCGCCTCGCCAGTTACTACGGAGCCAAACGTCTCCCCTCCCCTCTCAGCCGCAATCTTCAGATCAGGATGAGATTCCGACATTTCCCCTTCCACGGTCCATGTCTCAAAAGACATCAAAGCACATGGTACCTCTTGAAAATCCATACAAGGCGCTGCCAATTCCGGCCAGCGATATTGGTACCACAGGCCAGAGTATTCGCTTACCTTTAGGCGAGCAAGCGGTAGCACCGCCGCCACCGTTGCCCAAGGACGACGTTCCAGGGCCACTACCAACCTTTCACAAATATAGCTACTCCACTGAAAGTAAAAGCAGTTACCGAACTTCTGTCGGCAGCTCCCGGTATGATTCCAGACGATCCACATCAGTGTCAATGGGGCGGCCATCCTATGGTAGCTTGTCGCATCAGTATAAATTCCTAGAGGATGCTCCGCCGATCCCGTCTACATTTCCCAGCAAGCTGTTACGTGATTCAACTGCCACCACGTTCTCGGAAGCAAGTATGCCTCACGGCGACATCAAACATGACCAGGATAGGCATAAGTGCCATGGCAGTGGTACTCACAATCCGTCTATGGAGCCCACCACCGACACGGTGGATAACCAGGAGGATAGGCCAGCTGCTCTCCGTGCATCATCCCATACCAACTCGGACCGTCTAAGCAGCAACCGCGGGTCCGCTGAACTGTTCTTTAGAAGCCCTACCCCGAGTTCCCATGGTACGCCGTCGGAACTTCCCGACCTCTCCGAAGAGCGGTCAACCTCTCCTGCAGACATGCAGGGAATCGAATACAAAGCTTATAAGAGCCCGAGTCTCCAACCCCCCGGGCAGGAACTTGGCGCCGGCGACGGACTCGCCCCTGCACCGAGGAAGAATTCGGATGCCATCAGCGAAGCTGGTATTTCTATCACTAATTTTGCTCGGGAGTTGGGCTTGGACACTACGGACAGTGTGATGGAGAGCTCGACAGCTTCCTCCGATTCATCGCCGAGTGATACACGAAGCGGCACCTCTTTCTCGAGCATCGGATCAGATATCAGCATGTCAAAGCGCAACCTGTCCGATCAAGGCCAACTAGGCACCTTAGTGGAGGAACTACAAACAACGAACGGCGAGAATACAACGATGTCAATGACAGGTTTTGACACGCTCGAGCCTCCTCGGATGCCGCAATATCTTTTCAGTCCAGACTCCCCGACCGATCCCGCCATCAGTACGGGAAGCGTGTCCCTTCTTCATGATAAGCCCATGCAGAAACCGACAAAGGAAGACCAGCCGGAGCCCCCTGCAACGACTAGTCCCACAACTGAACGGCCTGCTCGTGCAACACCCCGCCCAAAGGGCCCTTGCCGCGGCTGTGGTGAGATGATTGTCGGGAAATCTGTCTCGTCTGCGGATGGTCGCCTTACGGGCCGGTATCACCGGGCATGCTTTGTGTGCTATGATTGCAAAACCCCTTTCCAAACCGCCGACTTTTACGTCATGGATGACCTTCCATATTGTGCGCAGCACTACCACCAGCGCAATAACTCGCTTTGCCATACATGTCACACAGGCATTGAGGGACAGTATCAGGAGACAATCGAGCAACGGGGCCATGGGCCAGCCGATCGCTTCAAGTTTCATCCAGACTGTCTCACATGCCGCACCTGCCAAGTTGCGCTGAAAGGGGAGTACTTCGAATGGAATGGTCAGGTATACTGTGAGCGTGATGCCCGCAGAGCCGCGGCTTTACCACCACCCCTCGCTTCCAGCGCCCAGGCCCGGGATTATATCCGCCCGGACCGCCACCCCATGCGCGTCAACCTTCGCGTGGCTATCCCCGTCCTCCACCCCCCGGGTATGCAGGACGCCCCAGATCACCGCGCCCTGGCCCACCTGGCCCCCCTGGACCGCCTGGAACCCCAATTACCCGTCTGCCTCCACCAAGCTCATTCGACGGGCCATATGGAATGACCGTAGACGCCGGCCGGCGATTCCCAGAGCGGAGAACCACCAGATTAATGATGATATGATTTGAAAATTCCGCTCCGATGAGCAGTGGCAGTTATATATTACTTTCATATTCAGCTCACTGGGTGGCAGAGTTACTCTTTCCCCTCATTTCCTGTCTATACCTGTCGGAGTATCGTGTTTTTCTGTTCTGTCCATATTCAGGCTGCTTTATACCCTTTGTTTCTTGTTGATATTGTGTCTTATGGTGTTTTTTCTTTCTTTTAACACCCCCCTGGGCTGGATATTTGATGCGCATGGATGTTTCCCTATATAATGTTTGATATAATGCTGGCCATATACACGACCCTGGCAGGCGAGGTGATATAACTAGAACCGTTGATGATATCAATATATTGGCTCTAGCCTATCGAGATCCAAAAAGAGGTTTATTTGGTAACTTCGTACATATTTCTCCAATAGGTAATAGCCTTATACAAAGTACATGTAGTATCCTGGATTTGAATATAACCATTAGCACAACATGTTCATATTTGCTTTTACCTATATACACAGGGCACTCGACAATCTATAATACGGTCGTCAATGCTCCCCAGAAACATGTGGTTTAGCACTGCATGAAATTTTCTCGCAGAGACTGAACGTGTTATATTCACCCCTCGAAAAGAAACTAATGAGAGCGAAGGCTGGTACACAACAAGACTAACATAGATAATAGACCAAATAAGGTAATGCCATCTTGACGGACGTCTGAGATACCGCGCCCTGGGGCATCCCACGATTTTCAGATGTTTTAACTGTCTTAATCTGGTGTTCCCACGATCCCCGAACACCGACCTCATATCCAACATGATTCAGCAATAACTGTACCTGGAGCTAGAAACAGCCTACCCATCATCTACCATGTTCAATAGTCAAACTCCTGACCAACAAGCTTCTCACTCAACTTCCACAACCTCTCCGCATCAGCCTTGCTCGTCGCCCAGGGGTAGACCTCTTCTTTATCCGGATCCGCCACATGGCAATCACTCAAGAACGAACCATTGTGCCGCACAATGCCGGTATCAAACGCAGCAAAAACATGCGTTGCGACTCCCTGATCCAAATCCTTGAAGTTCAGCTCCTTCATACCCCACAACCACTTGTTGCCATAGAAGTTATCCATCTCCGTCAGATCCGCAGAAAGGGAAGCCAAGTCATCATTCCCGTGAGCTGAAAGGTTCGTGAAAATGGTTCCTGGGCACATCGGAAAGGCGACGAGACCCCTGGACACAAGTCTCTCGGCCAGGGAGAGTCCCATCAGGGCATTGGCCGTCTTGGACTGGCCGTACGCCAACCACCGCTGGTAGGTCTTGCCCTCATTGAAGTTATAGTCCGACCAGCGGATATGGCCGGCACGGTGCGCGCCACTGGAGACGAGAACTACGCGCGGGGCTGGCGAGGCCAGGACTTTGCCCATGATGAGGTTGGTGAAGAGGAAGTGGCTGAGGTGGTTTGTTTGGAACTGGCTCTCAAACCCATCTTCGGTTAGCTTGTAGGGCACGGCCATGATGCCGGCGTTGTTGACCAGGACGTCGACGTGAGGTACGTCTGACCATGTATTGACCGTTTCGGCTGCTTTCCGGACGTCACTGAATGATAGCAGGTTAAGTGTGAGGGGCTTGACTTTGATGCCTGGGTACGTGCTGTTCAGCTCGTCGACGAGGCCTTGCATCTTGGGGATGGAGCGGCCGGCTAGGATGAACATGGCCGGCTGGGCCACGGCGACTTGCTTGACGAAGCTTTCACCAAGGCTACCTGGGGAGACACCGGTGATCAAAATCGTTTTGCCGGAGATATTAGGGCCATAGTGGCGGACGAGATCACTGGCCCTTGTCTCTGCATTGAAAGTGGGTTCCATGGCTATCGGTGTATGACCAAGGGCAAAGGCTTTGGAAGGATGTCGATATAAGTTGCTCGGGAGATGGAAAAGTGTTGATTGAATGAAGAATGTATAAATACAGAGCACAGAAGGAGTCTCTGTGGCCCTTTTATAACTTTTCATACGCCTGTAGGCCTTAGGTTAGGGCGGTGGTGGTGTACATACCCACGGCTCATAGTACAAACCTGAAATTCCGACAGGATTTGTCTCAGCTGGTGCAACTAGACCAACCAAACCAAATCTGGCCCTTGGCGCGAGGGATCGATAGTGATCTCCGTACTGTATACAACTGTCTGTCAATCGTACTGTGGGTCTGCCGCCAAACCATTTCAGGTACCTCGTGCGAAGGAAGACCAATATGATTGCCATTGAAATTAAGCAGTAATATACATGATTCAGGATTATTCAAGGCTGATAATCATACTCTATGCACTAACAAGGTTCTCTCAGCCGTGTAGGTCGCCAGACCAAGTCCGCTTTTCTCGCCGATCAATCGAAGCTTTTCTTGGAGCCAGACTTTCTTTGCGTCTCCTGCTAACGACGAGAACAAGAGCACTGCCATAGGGAAGAACATGCCAAATGTTCGATAAGCTATTCCGGTCTCATGTTCCTCCATACCGCGTGTGCTGCTGAAGCCAAGAACGGCACAGATATCCTCGCAAATTTGCTCAAGGATTACTATAAGCCCTTCATGTTGGAACGGCTGATGCTCAACGAGTGGATAGTGAGCAGTGACCCCCACATGCTCTTTCTCTTCCTCTTTAAGGGTCATTATCAAGCCCAGGACCAACTCCACTATGTGATACCTGACAGTTCGATAAAGACTCCTCGCAATTGCCGCTGTCGTTTCGGTAGAGACCTCAATCAGGTAATTAAATGCGGTCGACTGTTTCTCCGTAGGCAGGTCTGCCCCAGAGGAGCACCAAGCACTTGTGGCTACGGATTCAAGATCATCGCTAATGCTAACGCCGTCCAAAATCAGCTTCGACAGCGCCTCCACTCTAGATGCCGGATGCCATATTCCAGTGAGCTGAAGTCGAGCCTGCCTCTTGAACCGAACAGCCCGACTAAGAACTGGCTCTAGAAGGGGACCGTCCATCCACGGAGTCGTGAATTCCTCCAAGGCCGGCCATTTCGACTCGCCGGACTCGTGATTCACGAACATACTCATGAACTGAGCAGCCGTGTTAGCAATATGCTAGCTATGGATGGGGTCAAATTGGATCTCGATATACGCACACAAATGTAAGAGAAGAAGGCGAAGACGCGCTTATCCAGGTCCGAATTTCGGTTCCTTTCAGCCCGCCATCGAAGGAGCAGCAATGTGCCGCGGAAATGGATATGGCAGCGGAAGTCAACATCAGATATCATTTCCTCCAGTGAGTCTGGTACGATGGTCTAGCCGGTCCTCTTAGCATGCCGGACGTCTTTGTAACCCTAGTTGGGTCTGTCTTCTACGCACAATGGGTACATTAAGGGAAGGGTATAACAGCCGATAGCGCAGGATCAAAGAGGACGAATGGGATACCATACCTCAAAGAGCGACAGCGTAAGTAGAGTCACGAGGACTGAATCATCAGCAGTCATAACCTGATCGTTCAGAGCAGAGTTAAGCGCCGTCATTGCTTTACCATAGTGCCACCTGGCCCGAACCATCAATTCAGACTCCTGACGTTGGCGAGCTAAGCTAGCCAGGGTAACCGCGTGGAGTGCTTCCTGGCAGCACGTTGAGGAGCTGTTGGTATAGAATCTCGGGAGAATGTTGAAGAACGCAAAGCCCGAGTCAACTGCATAATCCCGGTAGAAATGATTCCAGCTGTGAATCTCGGCAGGAAGGTGAACTCCACGCGGGATACTGGTGGTAGCCAGTCTCTCAAGCTGCTCACTTCTCCTGGCCCTTAGGCCTTTCTCCACCCGCATTTGCACTTTCCTCTCGGCGAACGCATTCTGCACGCGAAGCGAGACATCCCAGGCCTCCGGATAGCCGGGACAGGTACGTCCACTCTCCGTACAACGCCGGCAGTGTGGTCTTTGTAAGTCGCACTAGAGCGGGAAGGTTAGCTATAGTTAGATAAAAGATCTGAGGGAATTAAGGGAGGGTCCCAGAGGAGGTACTGCACCTTGACTCGACGTTGGCGACACATGAAACAACATTTTGATCGCTTGCCCGCATTGACCATTGCGAAAAGAAGCTTTGCTATGCAATGTAATTGAGCCTTGAATTTCCGGCCACAGCAATAGCCCTTTATAGAAAAGAAGTTACACGAGTGGTGTACAACACCTACTCTTGGCAGAGGTTGACCGTGTGAGTTTGTTTCCTGAAGGCAATCTATTGCCAGGTTAATTGAACCCTAATTGAGCGTGGGGTCACTAGTTAGTCAATTTGGACCTTATTAATAATGGCCTCATAATCTAAGCTCATCTGTGGCTTGGAAATCCTTCGCCTAAACTATAACGGGCTCTAACTGCGAGGTGGAGCCTGCTGAAACCATCTAATAAGAGATGGAGTTATTATAGGCAAAGTTCGATATCCTCGGCGGAGTAGATTGCCGGCTTCCGTATCGGATCTCACTCATTCCCGGCCAGGTTTGGATTTCAAAGGAACCATGGAACGAACGTTCATACGAGAAACCACACAACCGGCAAATAGGGGAGTACGTATCGAACCATGTTATCATCCCTTGGCCCGGTGCGTGGCTAAGCATCTAAGGTCTTACTAGTGTAGATCTCTTCGGGAAGGGTTGCTGTAAACAAAAGAAAAGAAAACCTGAAGTTTAGAATACGTTACCGCATATTGCTGCCTAGGTACTCGTAGTGTGAAGCAAATTCTGTTGATCATAGATTCAGTAGCTCTGTAATAATCCAAAAAGACAGAGTTCCAATGCTATATAATCATCCAGCTGCAGTGGAATGAGAACAGAGCTAAGAACAACATCCTACAATTTCTTTACCTTACATAATTGTCTTGTACTGAAGAACACCTTCCTGCCAATAGCTTCACACTCATGTCTGCCACTATTCCAACTCAACGCCACGGTCTTCCTCTCTTGGCCACCCCCGAGACTTGTGCAGGGCGGACCTATATTGTGACCGGCGCCAATAGCGGACTGGGTTTGGAAGCAGCGAGGCACCTTGCCAATGCTGGTGCTACAAAGGTAATCCTCGCGGTGCGCAATATCACCGCCGGTGAGAAGGCGAAAGACGGCATCGAAACATCTACAGGAAAGACCGGTGTGGCTGAGATTTGGTCGCTCGATCTTGCTAGCTATGACTCTGTCAAGGCGTTTGCGCAGAGGGTAAAAACAAAGCTTGATCGAATTGATGCTGTCGTTGAGAATGCGGGCGTGGCATTGTCGCAGCGGGTAGAGGCGGAGGGCCACGTCTTACCTGTCACTGTTAATGTGCTAAGCACGCTTCTCCTTGCGGTGCTCATCTTGCCAAAGATGAGAGATAGTGCCCGCCGCCACGGAACTATACATCGCCTGGTGTTCGTTACCAGTGTTACTGGGTTCGATTGCCAGGAAGCATGGAGGAATATTCATGAAGCACCACTGGCTAAGATGGATTCCGAGGATATGAACATGATGGAGCTGTAATTCCTGCCATCTCCAAGCACTGTCACATTATCCGAGACTGACACGGGACGCTAGATACCCACTTACCAAGCTGATGCTAACTATGGCGGTTCGTCATCTGGCAGCCTTAACCCCCGTGGATCGTGCCGGTGTTGTCATAAACCTAGTCTGTCCTGGGCTGTGTAAGACCGCGATGAGCCGTAACGCACCAGCTGAAGTGCAGGAAAACGTCGCCGAATTTGTTGCAAAGTGTGGGCGGACTGCAGAGGACGGTAGCCGCACGCTCCTCCATGGAGCTGTGGCTGGTATAGAGAGCCACGGATGTTTTCTTTATTCTTGTCAAAATGGAGAGTAAGTGGACTCAGTATCTACAAGCCGTCATTTGTCAATACTGATCTGTTTGACGTATTAGGGATTTAGTACCTCAATGGGTGACAAATGAAGAGGGGAGAAAATGGCAGAGAGAGAGCTGGGAAGTTATAGCTAACGAATTGGAGTCTGTGAGGCCTGGTTGTGTCCAGGAAATGCTAAATTGAACATTGTGGAATGCTAACATTTTGGCCTGTGTTTCCTGGTGTGAAATAATGTATTCTACTTTGCCTACTGTTATCGTATCATGTGCGAATCTGAGGACTTGTTCCTCATCATTGTTCATCCACATATGAAAAACGAATAAAATACAAAAAGGTTATTAGAACACTCTCCAGGGGTGACACAGTAGCCTTGGTCCAAACACGGCTAGTTTCATACAGCTGCTAGCTCAGTACAAATGTATATTGGCTTCTGTGGTCATACTAGAGAATTTAATGGATCTATGGCCGCAAGAGATTTAGTGCTCCGCCGACTAAGTGAAAGCTTCCTGTTACAAAAACGTGGACTCCACCTCTGTCGATACTAATCTGGTTTGTACGTCGTATTGCACCCTCAATTGTCGGTTCACTTGAAACCGTTGCCCCAGGATCCAGTTTTTTCCATAGCGCTGAGTATATCGAGAACAGATCTGGAGTTTCAGGCACTTTCAAGAGTTTATCTGTCATAGAAAGGTTAGCAGGGCATACTACAAATATATCCTCAGATACCTGCCGATGCTCATGGATCCATCCTCTCTCTCCTCGTACGTAGTGAAGACGACATCATCTGGCAACACGTCATACTGGGAAAGAGTATGGGCAAGGCATTCCACCAGCGTAGCGCCATCACGGTGTTCTGATAAGTGGCTGAAGATAAGGACACGGTGCCTGAGAGAATTGTTCTGTTAGTTGCTGGATTCTCCACTTATTACACAGGTTCTTACTTTCTCGCAGCTGAGGATGTGGTGTTCTTAGAAAACCATATTGCCGCTTGTTCCAAACTCAATGTGTTGTGTGCGCCATCCAAGAACCATTGAGACAAGCCGTCTTCGACAATCTCAAACCTCCCAATCCAGGTGAAATTCTCAATAGCTGCAGAAATATCTCCAGGTTCCAATTTGTGGTCAGGTGCTTTAATTTGTAAAAATATTCTGGACAGATCGAGGGCTAAAGAGCAGTTAAGTCGTTGGACGGGGACACTTAACACATGGTTAGTAGCAGGAAGGGAGCTATTAGTCGAAACAAACGTCAAGGGAACCATTTTCTCAGTGGCACGACTACGCAAAACTTGGGCAGGGCCAGCCTCCTGCGGCACCGAAAATGCAGGTGCGCCTGTTTTGAAAATTCCTGCTTTGTGCCAGGCAATGTTCTCGATGGTAGGGCCTAGCTGCGCGATGTGGTCCATCCCGAGGGATGTGATGCCCGTCACAACAGGCTTCTCTATAACATTCGTAGCGTCATATTCTCCGCCATGGTGCGTCTCGAATATAGCCGCGTCGACATTCTCCCGAATGAATGTGTGGAAAGCCAGCAAAGCCAGTAGCTGAAGGTAACGGGGCTGTCTTATGCTTTCAGTAGCTTGTTCCAGGTTAGACGACGCAAGTCCCTCCCAGACCTCAAAGAAGTATCTCGTAAAGATGTCCTCTGTAATCGGCTGGTCATCAATTTGGATTCTCTCCTGAATGCATTGCAAGTGAGGGGAGGTATATAAGCCAATCCGCTTTGGAAATCCTGTTCTCAAACTATGCGTGTGGAGGAAGCCGCGAGTAAACGCGCAGGTACTGCCTTTCCCTTTGGTACCGGCAATATGGATTATATTCAGAGCTTTCACGTCATCGTCCTGGATCGAGTGTGAACGTCAAGGTACCGTAGCGTTGACCATCAACAATTCATACCGAGTGCCCTAAAATCTGCAACCACTCTTTCATTCCCACTAAGCTAGGCGTACCTCTTACGGTGTGCGTATCGTTAGAAGAAGTTGCATTCTGGCGCGCAGGGGGTACGGCTGGAGTTTGCGGTCGGCCTTTTCGCTTTCGCGTCTCTAAGAGCTTCAGTGCGTTCTGTGGATTATTAGTACCTATGCAGATACAGAAATATGTTCAGCCAATACCTCATAAGTAAGTTTCATATTGGCAGCTTGCCAAGATAATTGGCGGTAGGTAGGAGTCACTTGTACTTTGAGAATAGAGCTCACGACAAACTCGTTGATCACTCATTGTCTTCGACCAACTCCTGGTGACACAGAGCATCCGGATCCTGAGTAGCCTTAGCGATTGGACTGTACGACTGACATCTATCATAGCTGACCAAAGAGGAAGTTGCAACCGTTGCTATGTTGTATCATTCACAAAGGGAGTGAAATACATCAAAAGCCAGCGGGTTGTTCCAGACCAGACACAGGCATAGAGTATCCCTTACGGGTTGCAAGACTATGCTCTGAAGTTATACAAAATTGTCTAAAAAGATATAAACATATATAAGCAGATTGGCCGGTTTAATGTGGTATACTGTTACTGTAATTGAAGTAGATCGGGGTCCCCGCAAAACCTGACCTAGAAACGACTCCAAGCTCAGGATTATATCTCTTCACTACGAGCATTAATACGCAAGCTAGCTAAAGGATACTAAGTCAATTACTGTAATAAACCGGCGATAACCATATGCACGGCTGTTCATTTTTCTTGTCTTGTGCTTTAACACGGTCTGTCAGTCAGAATTAGTATAACCTAGCCATTCGAGACTTCAATAGGTCCCTATACCAGTCTAGTAGTATCAGATTCATACGTTCATTCCCTCGAGCTCAAAGTCACCGTATAAACTAGACTCAAAGTCAGAGATAAAACCTAGCGATAGTCCGTTCCCCCTCAATTACTCACGGCCATACCTTAACCAATATTACGAGACGCCTCTCGAAGCTTCTTATCCTCCTCAAAGTCATTCCTGATGCTCTCCGCTAAGCTATCATCGGACAATACATTCCAGCCCACAACGGCCATGCCCTTGGCAGTGTTTATGGCGAGTTCATAAGCTTGATTTGTTCCAGCTGCCTTGGTGAAGCTCGGGGTGTGGTTGAATGCACCTGGCTCAGCCGGGACGGCGAACCCGCCATGAAAACCAGGACAGATATACGTTACATTACCTGGAGTGCAGGGGCCAGTGAGTGTGTTTGTTTCAGTTTTGGCAGTTTGAATATTGTATGGATGGATGTCGGCAGGGAAAGAGTGATCTCAAAATCTTTCAATCACACAAGGGAATCACGTACCCATGTCAGTTGAGCCGCTTTGCGCGGCCCCAGAACTAAGAACGGGGAAGCCAAGCGTTTCCATCGCAGATACGTAGTTCGCACAAAGAGTCTTGTTTGGCCTGAGATCCGCGTACGTCTCGAGACTGCAGAGGGACCCCCGGTTAATATCTTTTGTTTTGAGTGTAGTAATAAGGATGGTAATGACGACCGCTTTGCCCTTTTTACTCACGTTTCATATTCAACCGCACAGCCTGTTGCTATCGCAGCCCCATCAAAGCACTTTGTAACTCTAGCCTTCAGAGCCTCAGCGTCTTCCAGAGTCGCGCTTCTACAGTAGTACTCCAGGGTAGCACTGGCCGTGATAACATTAGGCTTCGTTCCGCCTTCCACAATCACACCATGAATTCTCTCGTGCGGCTGTATCTGCTGTCTCAACATCGAAATGCCATTGTATGCTAAACAGACTGCGTCAAGCGCGTTGACACCTTGCCACGGTGCTGTTGCCGCGTGAGCCGGCTTGCCAGTATAGCGCGCTCTGAATTTGACAACTGCAGAAGACTTGCAGTATGCCACACCAGTAACGCCGTCTGGGAACCGTTTGTGGGCGGCAGGATGAACCATAAGACACGCATCCACGTCATCATATGCCCCAGCATCAATGAGGTTGATCTTTCCACCACCCGCTTCCTCCGCCGGTGTGCCAATAAGCCGAACTCTGCCAGGAAGCATAGACTCTTTTAAGGCGGCGGCCACACCAATGAAGGCGCCTATCGATGAGGTCGCAATGAGATTATGACCGCATGCGTGGCCTATTCCCGGAAGGGCGTCATATTCGGCGTTGAAGGCCACAACGCGTCCCCCGTTTCCGTATTCTGCGAGAAAGGAAGTCGGGAGACCGTATGCATGCTTTCTTACCACGAAGCCAAGTTGCTCAAGCAGAGTAGTTATATTGTCATGTGCCATGAATTCTTCGAAAGCAAGCTCGGGGTTTTTGTGTATCTATATGCTATGGTTAATGGCGATGTACTTAATGCGTCAGGGGGTTAAAAGAAATATAGCCCTTACCTGTTCGTTAATTAGCTGTAACTCCTTGTTGTGAGCGTCGATAGCGTGCACAATGACATCCAGCACACAGCCATCCTGTTGAGCAGGGGCTGGAGGTAGCAAGGACGAATTAGTCATTTGAGTCATTCTAGCAGCTGGCAACTGATAAATTCTGGTTTTTAGTGATTCTGTGTAATCCTGGCAATATAGGATTCCTGTTGACAGGAATAGACACTTAAATATCCTGAATGTGGCTTCATATAACGACGCAAAGGAATAGTCAGCTCGATGTACTCAGTGAAATGGTTGAGATGCTTCTAATACAATCTGGTAGTGGCTAAAGGGGCGAGTTAAAGGGCATGATCCTTTGTAAATGGATTTTATGTAGGGGGATTCTGAGAACCGATTTCGGCATTCGGCGTTTAGAACAATCCTCGCCCAAGATGACACGCCGTTTACTAAATCAGGGTTTCATATAGTTTAAGTACTATAACGACCGACATGCATATACTAAACGCAATTTATCCCTTTCCCAGTTACGGTATACATTCACCATTAACCCAAAGATTGCCTTTCCATCGGACTGCAACGCCCTTGCATATACCCAACATTGTAAACGCCGAAACCCGACAAATGCCCGACATACGCTGCCTTGCACCGAGAAAGGTCCGTAGATGTATAGGTTTGACTGCCTCTGCCAATAATTGGCGACTTTCTATGGGAGTGATCTATCAACTTGTACCTCCTCCCTTGAAAGGAACTTGTTGAGTGATAAACATCTATCACACTCTGAGTCCCGTCAGCAATATATAAGGTTTTACGGGTATGGTCTGAAAAAATATAAACTTTAGTACTTTAAATTTATGCATATGGAATAGAGATATATAAGCAATTTTGCTTTCTTAGAGTGGTATATTGTTCTTCTAATGACCGGCTGGTGTCATATTGCACAGAAGCTATGTGGCTATGCTAGGGCGAGATTCCATAATTCCATTCCATGAGGTCTACGTGAAAGGTTCAAGGCTCTATTTGAAAATCTCTACTCTGATATGGTTCACCTGGGGAATGACTTTAAGGAATAGTATTTTTAGTAAAGGAGTGTGACTATCTAAGAACCGGACAAAAGGCAATCTATTGATACCATATTAAAAATCTTGCAGAGAACTCTTAACATATCTCAACCGAATACACTTGAGCCATGGCATGATAACCGTTCCTCTTTTCTTTAGACCAGGCATGCCTTGTGAGCCAAATCAGTGCAGCGGGATTTTCGCAGTGTTGACATAGTCAATATTGTCCCGGTGCCCCTCTATGCGAGTTGTGCATGTGTTGAACAAGCGATCCCACACACGGGTCTGCTTGCCGTAGTTGTAGCTGCTCTTCCAACCCTTGCGGTGGTGGAGATCATGGTCCTCGAGCAAGAGCTCCATATTGAAGAGCCGTAAAAACGAAGTCCAGGGATTCACCGCGGTGGCGATCATTCGCAGACCGCTGTGGCCGAGAATTTCCGTGAAGATGACATATTGCTGGCAGATCCACCACTCGTAGAAGCCCATGGGGAAGCCCATCAATTTCATTGTGCCGTATGTGATGAGAGGTGTGCCGACAAGATCAATGAACTCTTGTACGAGGTCCGCATACGCAGTCAGAAGTGGATTGGGATGTTTGGTCAAGTGGTGTCTGCGGTGGAACTGCCATAGTAGATCTGTTTCGTGTGCGGAGCGATGGAATAGGTAATACCAGAAGTCGAGCACGACGCGTAGACGCCAGTTTCAAAGATGAGCCACAACCACCGGATGGAGGAGGGGCCTTCATCTGCGCGATAGGCGAACATTACAGTGGCCATGGGGCGTATAAATATAACTGACAGGAGTGTCTGGACTGTCTTCCGTACTCCCACATCGGGCACACCATCGCGAGGATGCTTGTCGCCGTCGAAGAATCCAATCTGATGCCCGACGCGGCGCAGGACATGGACTTCGTGGATAGCGATGAATTCCAGGGACAGGCTGTAAAAAGCAAACACCAGCAGCGTCGAGGGTTGGCCGATATAGTTGATGTAGAGTTGGTGAATGATGAGTGGGATGCTGGCGTGGAGGAGGACCCAACGATGGAATTGTAGCTCCGGGGCGTAAGGAACCTTGTCTGTTTTCTGGTGAACGGGAACTTCTTTATCCAGATCGATATGGTGGATGTTCAGGGTTTCGATCAGCCAGTGGGCTGCGTTCCACTGCGTCCGGTCCCACGAACGCCAAGTGGACTTCATCGAGTCCAACGGATTGCGTGTAATTGTAGCCATCTCTAGGCGGGGTGTGTTGAAGAGCGAGGGGTCAAGAACTAGCGTTCATAGCCTTTCTCTTTGGCGGCCCTCCGTGTCTTCTATAATACTAGCCAACAGCTCGACATGTGAACTAAATAAACGTGCAACCGAGGTGTGGATATTTTGCCCCAGCATTTCCCCACGGAGAGTATCAGATTTGGATTACTGATTCGCAGTGGTGTCTTTAATCAATCGCATCTTGTTCTGTGTCAGCATGATGGAGGGATCGGCAAGACCCACCTCGATTGGGATTTGCTCATTTTCTGAGGATCCCCAGAGAAGTCGAGGTCTTGGCCAAATGATAGCAATCACCATATTTGTCAGGCTCCACTAGCCCGCTTTTCATTGGCCAGCATGCGAAGCATACCGGATTAAGTATGTATTGCGAATTGGGAAAGCCTCAAAAATCGTTCTGGATGACCCTCACCTGGGCACGAACTTCCCGCATGTGAATCCATTTTCCTTCAATTCAACCTTTAATATGCCATTTGCTTCTAGTGTACCAGCCTGTCTCCCCCGGGATCTTCTCTAGATTAGTTATCATTCCCCCCCTTCTGCCCTGCATTTATTGCCTTTCGTGCCGTCCTTAATTTAATGCCGGCAGATGACGTATCTGAAGCCGCCTGTTCCCTTTTTCTTGAAAAGGTTATCTCATAAAATAGTTTGTTTCGACGGTATCAAAGACCTACGATCTATGAAGGGATTCAAAGACGCCACTTTGCGACATATCTATTGTCAGCCGAACCTGGCCACTGCGTTATTACGTATCACGAGACCTCAAATATCCTAGCATCTTGGTGGTCTAGCCACTTTTGTCGGCGGATAACTGCTTTGATTATCCTCAGTATAGACGTGCTAAGTGGAAGAATTATGTACAGGGTTACCTAAGAAAGGACACAACCTCAACTAGTGCCAACCGTTATATGTATTTTTCCACTTTACATCCCTGGTCGCTGTTTGTCTGGTAGTAATATGATTTTAGTTATTATCCTGAAGATTCCAGAACTTCTTTTAGCTTATCTACCGGACAGTCTTGTGGTGTTTTGGCGTTTTCTTGCCATACCGCGTTAAACCTAACAAGGTCTGAATATTTTGGCGCAGACACTCTCCAATCATGCCCGAAATATGCTTAACAATCAACTCACATTGCAAAAGTCAAGCACAACTAAACGTTTCGTCAACGAACAGGCTTTATCGCTCTACATAATCCTGGAATTTGATCTTCTAGAACAATGTCCCAGTTACTACATGTTACTAAAGCGGATAGGGTCTACAACCACAATGGCAGCCAACTATCACACAGTTATATAACAATACGGTAGTGATGAGGGAAATGAAATACTGAGAGGATTGAGTGCGTTGGAGTATATGTCGGGGGCGTCAGGGCTTCTGCGATCGCGTGACCTACATTGAAATTTCCACTATAATATGTAGGCCAGAACGATACGAAAAGAAAAGAGTTTTCTCCTTCGAGTGCGTCACATAGATACTTCTCTGATGAGTGTGAAATCAACTAAAATTGAACATGAAATCGTAGGTGTACAAGCTGGCACCGGTGCTGCCTTACTGTAGAGAGAATGATCCGGAGCATGAGTTCACCGTTAAATTGAAGACAACCTGCTGATCTACTGAGGTAGGGATTCGCATCTCTGAAGAGAAGTGGGATAATATACCAAATTACTGTGTCTTGCGTTTAACATGAAAGCAAAAAATTTAGATAGATTGAGTGGTACTCGACCAGCAGCTCATTATATCTTTGAAAGGGGAAGTGAATTCATAGAGAAGAAGCGTGTGAGCCTTTATAGTAATATTGCAAATCATGTTCTATCCCTCTATGTAATGCTACCTCTATTAGGTACCTAAGGTGTTTCGCTATATGTTTTAGTGGTGTTCGAGACTGCAGCAGAAACAGATATTATCCCCAGTTTCGCTGCGAGTGTTGTGCGAGGTTGATGCAGTTGTTATGGTGCCCCCCCCTTCATATTACGTAGCATCAGGGCCCTTTTCTTGATCCTCACTCATATTTTCTGTATCCCCCTTGCCATCACTTTTCTCCCCCGACTTCAACGGCAACCAGCGCATGAGAATAGGACCAAAGACTGACAAATTGGCGGTCGCAACCGCAACGTAAAATGTGCCCACGATAGCCTCATTATAGGCAAGCAGAGCCAGAGGTAGTTGAGTCGGTGTTAATTGATCACGGAATCCTGTCGCGCCACTGTGCACAGCTAAATTCGCATCAACAGCCGGGAGCCTGGACAGCAGATTTGCCAGTAGCTCATTCTGAAACACGCTTTGCCCGACCGGAAGAAATATCGCACTTGCCAGAGAGTCTGCGTAAAGGTCAAGATAGTGGTCGACATCGGCATATCTGCTGGCTCTACAGCCATGGACGCCACGAGCATGACATTTTGAGCGCCGATACCAACGCCAGCACTGATTAAGACTTGGTATCCGATACTGGAATCGACCTTCAAAGTACTCATAAGACCGGCTCCTATGGCTGTGAGGCCTGATGACGCTATGAGCAGTGGGGTATAATATCCGATTGCTGAGGCGAGACCTCCGCCGATTCTGGCAAAGGCGACCAGTCCAACTAGGCTGGGAAGAGTATCAATTCCTGATTGGGTGGCGGACTCCTCTTTGATGGCTTGGAACCAAATAGGAAGCTGTTGTGTAATTAGAGGCACACTTCTTGGATGAAATAAAGGATAACCGACTTACACAGTATGTGACAATAGACATGGCTGCTCCGATGCAAATCCCATACCAAACAGCACCCCAGTTGTCCACATTCTTCATCAAGCGCAAGGGGATCGTGGCCCGATCTCCCTGCCATACTTGAATCCCGAGAAATATGATGAAAGTCACACCAGATACAACCAATAAAGCAATAATCCGCGCGTTGCTCCAGGGCCAGAGGGTGCCACCCCACTGCAGGGCGAATATAAGGCATATAATAGATGGGATCAGAAAAATAGTACCTGGTAGATCAAATTGCTTGACTTGCTCCCTTCAGCCCAGTCTCTGCACCGACGTTGTGTTAGGAGGTAAGAAAATGAAGATAAACAGGACAGCAAGGCAGCCAAAGGGAAGATTAATATAGAAACACCATCGCCAGGTAAGATGGCCTGTAAAGGAGCCTCCCATAGTAGCATGAGAAGAAATTGAGAATTAGGGACCCCTCACATTGGTCTAGCAACACTAGCAACTGCATGCATTCTAGAAACCAAGCCCATATGAAGAGGGCGAACTCGGAGCGGTGCTGCGGTTGAGACGATGATAATACATCCTGAGAAGAGCCCAGCCGCCCTCACACCAGCGATGCTTCGTCCTACAATGAGAGCGTCCGAGGATGGCGCAATACCGCAGATCAAGGATCCAAGCTCAAAGGTAAGGGGACCGATCCGAAAAATCCATTTGGATGGGTGAAATTGGTATAGTTTGCCGAAGATTAATTGCACGGCGCAGGTGGTGAAGAGGTAGGAGGTTCTGTACTAAACAACGTCCTCCAGGGAGTTGAAGTATGTTGTGATCCTGGGAATCGCTGTTACAAGGATTGTGGCATCCTTTAAAGGTAGCGTCAGTAAATTATGCCATGTATAGCAATCAGGAAGATCTCACCAAGGATATACAAAAGAGCGTTGGGCATAAAGCAACTGTGGCAGGGATCAGTCTCCATATGGATGGGATTTCGTCGGCTGGTATTTTCCGTTGTTACCTTCACCTCGCTAGGCGCACAAGAGGGTCACTCTGCTGAGGACTCATTTTCCAGTGCCAGGGTGATCGCAGGAATGAAACCAGTTCGGAGGCATCCACGGGTTAGATTATGCTGGGTCTATCCAATCTAGCTTATTGTACTAATCAGTTCGCTTCATTTAAGGGATTTTTGTCTGTCTCAGTAGCATTTACTTGACTACTACAACTGCGAGCTCATAAGTGACTGCATATCTCATCTCTCATGACCTCGGCACGTTGATTGATCTTCTGGGAAATTCGTTACACATCTCGCTGAAATAGTAGACAAGCGACTGCCAAATCAGGTTCCATGTTGCTTAGTTGCTGGTCAAACCCAATAATAATTCATGGAACTAGTTCTGTCTTAAGATTTCTCTAGTCACTCGGTAGGCGTCCTCGAAGGCGCCTGAAATGAACCCGCGCCAGCCGTCTGCAAAGTCCGATCCACAGAAATACACATTTCCATGTGGTTTTCGTATTTCATCGTTGTACTTTTGCAAAAATCCAGGTCCTCGAACTGGCATTACTCCGCCAGCGTATTGGTCATCTGACCAAAGATGGCCAGAAGCAGTTTCGACTTGAATGCCCGCGGGGCGAAGACTTTCAACAAGACGGATATTCTCATCTGAGCCGTCCAGGCCGTTGTCAGGATGGACAAGCAATGTGAGTAGGGTATGGTCGCCATGACTTCCGTCTGTGAAACCACTGGCATAGGGCATATCCCCTCCCTCGTAGCTAACGTTGAACCCGTTTTTAAACTCGGTTGACGTGCATACAAGGACCTTATCCGTCCTTGCTAGAGTTACGCCAGTGGCGAAAGCTTCCGTTCTGAGTGTGGAGAAGGGGGGATCGAAGACGATTGATGATATTACATTAATGGGGACTGTCGAGATGACTGTTTTGGACAAATATTGCTCCCCATTCCTGAGGGTGACAGTAGCAGGAAAGTCACCATCTCCCTGAGTGATTGATGTCACAGGGGAGTTAAGGATTCTATCGCCCTTGTAGTTCTCAAGGATTGCTAGCGCAAAGGCAGTGGTGCCCTTTGCAAGCTTGTACTTCATGGTGGCTGTCTCGATCATGGCAGGATCGAAGTTGCATAATGCATGGGTGTGTGAAGCACCTCCGTACAGGAAGCCTTTTCAGGCGAGATGCCATAGAATGAAGCGGCATGCGCGCTAAGCATGGACTGTTGCTCTTGAGTGCAGCCCTCGAGCTGCGCAACACGATCGCTGACACTGAGTCTATCTAGTTCAAGGTAGTCCGGATTCTGTTTGACACTGGACGCTGTACTGAATGGGAACGGGATTATACTGCGCCCTCCTTGTCCGTCAACATCAAAGAACTTCATCTTGAGTCCTTCGAGCTGCTCCATCATGACTCGCCCTTCAGCAGGATCTGACACTATAGCTGGTTGGGACCGCGATTCCTTGGCTGTCGACTCACAATTTTCAGGGAAAGCCACGGTTTCCTCAAAGTCGTCGAGTCCATATCTTTGCAGCTCGCTGAATACATGAGGTTGTTGCCAGTGCACCCATGTGCCCCCAATCTCAACCTTGCTGTCCTTTCCGATATGCGCAGTCCAGCAGCGACCGCCAATGCGATCTCAAGCTTCAATAATGACTACCTTCTTTTCTTTGAATGCAAGGTCGCGGGCGGCAGTGAGACCAGCAAACCCAGCACCGATGACAATAACATCATAGCTCGATGAAAGGTCAGACTTCGGGGTCGAGGGAACCACGGTCGCAGTGGTCAATCCATGTACCTTTAGCCAAGTATGATTATGACTGTGTTGAAACACATACCATACTGAAAGCCATCTTTCGCAGTCCATGCGAACCCTTCTTGCGATCGCTGCATTTCGTCAGTATAATATATCGATCGTGGCGCATGTAGGAATAACGGTCGAGGGACATTAGAGGACGTTAAATATACTCCATGTAGATCTATGACCGGCTTCCACGGTCTCCGTTATCTCTCGATTTTCTCCACTCTTGATGATGGGTGACCACCTGGGGGACTTGGAAAGTATGCATCCATCTTCCATGATGCTAATAGCAGGCTCCCGAATAGATCTAGCGTCCTTTTGTTTGATCGTTGCCTTCTTCAGTGTAGGTACTAGTAGTAAAACCTCATTTCATCAATCAACAACTTCTTCCCCTATGATATAATAGACCCGCGCTCGGACTCCTGAGAGAAATATTAACTCAATCTCATAAGTTAAACAATTATAGCAGAGTTACACCCTCCCTTACAGTTTAGACGTGGCTAGCTCAATACGATATTCATACAAGAATGTCTGCCCACTGAATCTATCACATCCTTTAGGGCATCGACTGATAGCACAAGCATTGAAATATTCAAAAGACCAACCCATGATACTTACTCGTCCTCAAAGGCTAACGTATGTATTACTTCGTTTCATTTTTGACTGACGCTAAGCTAAATCATTGATAGTAGCTGCGGTGCGGAGTTATCGGGTCGCGAAACCCTCTATGAACAGCAAACAACCCCAGGGCTAGGAGTGCTGATGTTTTTCCATCGCGATACGGATCTGAGCCAACATATATTGATAAGTTGGATATCTCTTCGTCTCCAGGAAGCATATGGAATATACCACACCCAAATACCTGAAATCTCGTTAGACAACCAGTCTCGCCTGCAACATCAGAACGACCACATCAGATCCAAAGACCAAATGAATATGATGACATTGCTTAGGCGTTGTTGATCCGTAAACCACCAAGTAAAAGTCGTATGGCAATTCCAATAACGTATCAGACGAGGCATGATGTGTAACTGGATCTCGCGAAACTCGTTCAACTTGATCGAAAGCTAATGTTTTTTGATTCGCAAAAAAAGTTAATACGGATGGCTAAAATCAATTGTGGCCAGTCTGAGGCAGTCATAGAGAAGAAGAATCCGAGGAATTGGAGACCCCAAATTGGGGTAAGCAGCGCTACTGACTCCACCGTAAATCCACAGATTAGTGACATCACCCTTGTTAGGGTTTAGTGTACTGAAACATATAGACGCCCCGTTCATTAAAACCAGGGAACTGGCCTGAACACACGCTAGCATACTATTAAGCGTCCTAAAGCCGCAGATGGTCATGGATATTAAAAACGAAACCAATAAGACGTGAACACTTAGAAGTGACGTGCCAAGACTCTGGCCCGAGCTGCGGGTAAGGCTTTCCCTAGCTAGATATCATCAATCCTTGTAGCAGATGTTCAGATTGCTGTTCTGGCACTATCAGGCCCATCGTATGATGCACTTGTCAGGCAAAGGGTCCACCAGTCACCCTCAATGAGGAGGTCCTTAGCCAATAAATGTCTAGTTGGCTGTATAGGATGTGGATCAATGTAGCATGTCACTTCGTACAGGCCATTCATGGTGCGTACTCGCCCTATACGACCAATCAATCGGGAATGCTGGGACAGGGAGGCGCCGAACAGATGCAAACTATTTGCGTTAGCTGCGTCTTTTGTTCTGGCGCAGGGCCAATCGGACCAGCGGAATTGCCAACAACAGGCATACTATACTCTTTATACGTCCCCACCGGAAGAGCTAGAGGCTGTCACCATCGTATATGTATAATGCTCCACATACTTCCCCGCAGATCGGCTTCCTTCCCTGATTTGCTCATCACACAGACCTGCAGGGATGTCTCAATTTGGAATACATGTAGAGATCCTAGACGCTGCATATAACATCCTTGTCTCCTTCAATCCCATGCACGCGTTGTTCTTTTCCCTGACCATACATGTGAAATAAAACGAGAATACCCCATAGAAGACTGACACTGACGCCAAAATGTCCGGAATCCAAGCCCAGCTCGACCAAGGCGCCGTCCCCAACGCCATTTCCAACGTCTGTCCTCCAGGCACAAAGTTTCACGTTCTGGAAGTAGGATGGCTGGAATGCGACAAAGGCTTCGTAATCAGAGGCGGCAACACAAGCAAGAAGTCCACAGAGAACGGCTCCTTCGTCAACGAGCGATGCGAAATGCCCATGTACTGCATATTGATCGACCACCCGCACGAGGGTCTGATCCTCTGGGAAACCGGGAGCGGGAAGGATTACCCAACGGTGTGGGGCCCGGTGATCGCCGATATCTTTACTCGCGTGAAGTACGAGCCTCGACATGAGCTGCGCGCCGCCGTTGAGGCGACCGGACATAAGCTGGAAGATATCAAGAAGATTATCATTGGGCATCTGCATCTGGACCATGCGGGCGGGCTGGATGAGTTTTTGCATCGCACGGATGTCGAGATCTGGGTGCATGAGAAGGAACTGACGAATGCGTTTTGGTCGGTTGCTACCGGTGCGGATGTTGGGGTTTATTTGGAACATTATCTTAAGTTGTCCCTGTATGGCTCTTTTCTGGCTGATTGATGTGGTGTCAGGCTGATGAGATATAGGAACTGGAAGACGTTCAATGATCAGACGATGGACTTCTGTCAGGGCATCACCCTGCATCACCTTCCTGGTCATACAGATGGTCTCATTGGCATGCAGATTAACATGCTCAACACGGGAACGTTCTTTTTCATTAGTGACCATTGCCATGTCATTGAAAATGTGAGTTATACCTACTTGATTCGTTGGTGCCCTACTGACTTTGCAACAGTGGCGGGATGGGATCCCTCAGGGCTGGTTGGCTCGAGACCACCCATCGTGGTTCAGGAGTACACAGCGTCTTAAGCAGCTCCAACGGATTACTAAGGGACAGGTGATTCCTGGGCATGATAAAGAAACCTTTTTGGGGCTTCAGAGCCAGGCCGATGTTTTCACCTGAGCCTTTTTGTTTTTTTAGTTATTTTTGGCAACATGGTCGCAAAATGACTGTCATCACATCGCGGCCGTTGGATTATATCCAGGAGCTTGAGATCTAGGTATTTCCTCTATCGGTAGACTCGGGCACTGCATTGTCTAGCCAGCATTAGTCTCAGGATTTGAAAACCAACACTACCTTCCCGGTGTTATATCAAGCTGAGCTTTTGCATGGAATGGCACGCAAAGTTAGATGCTACCGAAAATTAAAATATCACATACTGGCCATGTTGGCCGGAGTCACTTCAGACCGCTTCTTCTGCAGCAGATCTATTCATGCGATAATACCTAGAAAGTACCATATACCCCAGGAGTATTCTAAAGTCTACTGGTATAGGACTCATCAACCCACATTGATCCAGTCCTCTTCATGGAAGCCAGGGCCTCCCGCTCAATGCGCACCAAGAGATCAGCGCACGTAGGTATGTCGTGGATCAATCCAATGACCTGACCGGCAGTCCATACCTAAGCAATAGTTAGCTCGGATATCCCACAGCTGGGTATATGTAAGAACTTACCCCAGAGTCCACATCCCCCTGGATGAACACCTGCTGTCCACGCTTCCCACTCACAAGCGGCGCAATCTCTTCAAACTTCCCGGTCGTGCTCTCCGTTTCTACCTTCAGGGCCTCCTTCGCCACCTTATTCGCATACAAGCGCGTCGTATTCTTCCACCGCCTCATCACCAACGCCGTATCCGTCTCCTGCGCGGCCACGATCGCCTCCTTCACCTTGATATGAATAGGAGCTTCCACTGTACACATAAACCGCGTCCCCATGTTGATACCCTCCGCGCCCAGCGCCAACGCAGCAGCCAGACCATGTCCGTCCGCGAATCCCCCAGACGCAATGAAGGGCACGCCCAGCGCCTGGCGCGCCCGACTAAGGAGGATGAAATTGGTAAGATCATCCTCTCCAACATGGCCACCGCATTCAAACCCATCAATCGACAAGAAATCCGCGCCGAGTTTGACAGCGTTCTTCGCATGTCGGATGGTCGTGCATTTATGTATCACGATGATATTAGCCTCCTTGAGCGGTTTAATCACCAGCCCGGGGTTATTGCCTGCCGTTTCGACGATTTTGACCCCTTCGTCGATGATGGCCTGCACGTAGGCGCCGTAGTCCGGGGGCATAAGCGAGGGCAGCAGAGTGATGTTCACGCCGAAAGGCTTGTTGGTCAGCGATCGACATTTCCGGATTTCCTTGCGCAGGTCATCCGGGGTTGGTTGGGTGAGGGCAGTGACATGTAGTGCTATGTTAGTCTGGGATGTTGGTCATTGTGGATAGACGGTTTTACTGACTAGGCCAAGTCCGCCTGCGTTGCTGACTGCGGCGGCGAGTTCGGCGTAGCCTACCCAGTGCATCCCTCCTTGCACGACGGGGACTGGCGTTGTTAGCTTCTGGTTGTATGGAATCGGTGATATTGAATGTCCTACTCTGGATTCCCAGGGCTCTGGTGAGTGCTGTGTTGAAAGGCATTCTGTCCTTAACTTAGGATGAATATAGAATGTAGTATAGTTTCTTCAGCGACAAAGAGAATTGGATCATGTATCTCAGATATGGAATATATAGTCTGTTATATGACGATATACAATGCCTCGCAAATGAAAAATGGGAACTTAAGAAGGTGTCTGTTCATTGACATATATATAGTCCAACATAAAACACACGCAACGCTCTTCTATACAACAACAGATATCCAAACCTGGCTCCAACGTGGGGAGACGTGATCGCGCTGCCTCGGAGGTAAGATTAGTATGGTCTGGCATTGTTCCGGGCTGGATGATTATGATTAATAAACAACCGGCACGACGGAACAACCAGCGTCCAGCTAACAGCCGAGGTTCAGGATACAGCCAAGATATATGTTCAAGAATTAAGAGTGCCAGATGTGACTTTATCATAAACTACCCCGTACTCTAGTGTCTTAACCCTGCTGGAGTGGAGTTTTGTGGGGGAATCCCGCTGCGGACGGCGCATCACTTCTCCGATCGAAGTAATCATGACCGCTTCATATGTTCCCTACATACCATCAGCCGGTACATCATACCACCAACCGAGAAAGCCGTCTTGATTCGCCTACTTGGGTAAATCAACACAAGCTAATAAGTATTGAATCAACTTAGTATATAACACCCTCACCACCCCACAGACATTACCCTGTATATTCCACTCCCAACAATGTCGAACCAAGACTATAAATATTTCCGGGTCACTATTCCAGAACCATGGATCGCCCATGTTGAAATCAATCGCCCGGGCCAAGTGAACGCCTTTTTGGAAGAGTAAGCAAACGATGTCACCTTAATCCCCATACCGGAAACTGAAATATCGCAGTGGATGGCGCGAGATGCGAACCGTCTTCGACCATCTCTCCACAGACCCATCTGTTCGTGCGATTGTTTTCTCCGGATCAGGCGAGAAGGGGTTCTCAGTTGGCATTGATCTGAAATGGGTTTCCGGCCAAGATTCACCGTTTATGGTTGGGCCGGGCGAGGGCGTCGACCCAGGGAGACGTGCAGTCACTCAGCTTCGGAGATTTGGGGTTGAGTTCCAGGAGTGTATCTCGAGTATTGAGAAGTGTGAGAAGCGTAAGGAGCCCCTTGTCTCTTTATATGAGCTAGCTCGATTTCACTTGCTCTAGACGAGCGCTGACAAGAGCCAGCGGTTATCTGTGCGATGCATGGCTATGCATTAGGAATGGCCATGGACGTCTGTTCGGCGACGGACATGCGGATCTGTTCGAAAGACACGGTCTTCTGTGTCAAGGAGGTTGATATCGGCATTGCCTCTGACATTGGGATTCTGGCACGACTACCCAAGGTCGTCGGGTCATACACCTGGGTCAAGGATGTGGCGATGTCCGGCCGAAACTTCGATGCAGATGAGGCGCTTCGAGTTGGGTTTGTGAGTCGCGTTCTCCCAACGAAGAAGGATGTCATGCAGGAAGCATTTAGAGTTGCGAGGAATCTCAGTGAGAAAAGCCCAGTTGCGGTTCAGACGATCAAGCACTTCCTTGATTACAGTCGAGACCGCACTGTCCCAGAAGGTACTTTCATATCTACTTCCGCCTTTACATTGAGACAGGTTACTAAGTTGTTCAATTTAGGACTTCAATACCAGCTAGCTTACAACGTCGCGGCGGTTCAAACCAGGGATGTTCCAGTTGCTATTTCGTCCATGGTATCGAAGAAAAAGCCCGTTTTTGGAAAGCTCTAGTATCATAGAAGTCAAGATTGTTGGTAGCTTCGGTACATGGTCCCCAGATTGTACGTATATCATTATACAGGCTTCATTTCAGAATATGATAATGCTTTGATGCATCCAGTCAACAGTCCTAGTCAAATACAGCATTGAAATTGGTCATTGACTGGCCATAACAGTCACGGCAGCAGTATTTTTCGCCCGTCCCCTCAGCAGATGGTAGAGCAGTTTCCCAATACATTCATTATTTTGAGCCATGACGTGTAATTAATATTTTCCACCCACTACGTTCATTCACACAAGTATCGTCTGACGAAAAATCAAAAGCAGCCAGCCCCTTTGGTAAAATGAAAGATTACCTAAACACCACCAAGGGACGACGTTAATCCGACGACATACGCCTCAATTTATCGCCCGCATATTGTCTCATCAGAGGCCCCTCCAGTGGATGAATAGGGTTGCTTTCCAATACAAAGGCCTTGACTTTGTCAACGCTACCCTCAGTCTGGGTCTCTCGCTGCTGTTGCAATGTGCGAGACATTCTACCCCAGCAGAAAGGCTCTTGCTGTTCGGCGGTCTGACTTTCGGGGGCGGGCGATTCACGACCCTCTAATTGGGCGCACAGGAGATTCTTCTTTGCTTCCATTTTGGTTGGTAAATTGGTTGCTTGACTTGCTTGATAGGCTCCGGAGATAGTAGGGAAGAAAGGATAATATGCTGTTGTTGGTGTTATTCCTGGATCTGTGGCGGTTCCTTCACTGCGGTGGTTTTTCCGTAGCTCTGAGCTCGTAAGAATGAGTGAACATTAGTTTGCATAATTCGAATATTGATTCCCTTCCTAAAGGAATGGATGCAGGGATCATGGAAAGAAAACTTACATTAACAGTATGCTTAGAGTCGCTCGTAGCTTGGAGAAGATGAAGGAGCTATGACTTGATGGTCACCCGCATTTGATATATGCATAGCTGACCCAGAAGGCCGGGTCTATCGACTAATAACCTATCAACAATTTACCGTGTTAAATAATCATGACGCGTACATCGTATTAATAATAGGCGCCGTTCCCTACATTCAAACTTCAGAAGGCAAGCTCAAACAATGCATAGTTGGATGTGAGCTATGTTGGTTTGGGTCGGAACCATGGTTCAACCCCAATGATCTATAACCCTAATATTTCAGCACCAAATACGGGTCACCTGACAAGGACAAATAGGTGGCCACCTCTGGAGCTTGAATATCGTGGCAAAGTGAAAACTAGATACGTATTTTATTCAATTTCATATGGTGTCTCTTATTGTAGCTCCGAGGGGAATCGAGTTTTGTGTTACGGAGTATGCTAATCAACATCTTCCAACGACGTCTGTCTTGTATAGAAGTATACGTTTCATTTGTATCCATCTCATGTGCAGCCTCATGTAAATATCACGTTTAGCCTAGTACTGGAAATGCACTGAGGATTCTTAAAGTGGATTAACGATCCGATGGTTGTATTGTTGTTACATGCGAGTATCCACAGGAGCCTTCAGATATACAACACTGCTTCGTTGTTTATCGTCGTGATTTAGGAAGGTATTCATCTTCGTGTTGATTTATGTATAAGTCAAAAGGCTGTCCATCACATCTGGCAACGGAGAAAGGGCAAACTCCCCAATATCACTTGACTTATAATTTACACGTTCCACGCACTCGCAAGCTACAGCCTACGCGGGCGGCAATTAATACATCACTCTCATTGGTAACAAGTGAGGGGAGCCGTCAAGCTACCGTGGTAAGATGGCAGGTATATAGACCTCCTTAAATGGCGTGTTGTCGAGATTTGTTTCCTCTTACGGGAACGCGTGAGACTTTTACCTCTCTAAGTGTATGGTCAAAGGATTTACTTCTACATCGGCGAGGTGAAGCGATCGGCGTCAAATCCGGCGCAGTACTTTAGGTACCGAGTGGCTGTCAGTTACCAATTAGATGTAGCGAGCATCCGTGTTACTCCTCCTTCCTGGGCTAGTACGAAGTGCCTATTGGTGGTGGTTGACCGTGATGCATTAGTCTGTGATGAATAGGCCGAGATGCATATCATCCGAGAGTCCGAGCCTCTGAGAATCAGCCAGGTGCGAGCCTTGGATTTCAGCCTCGCCTCGTACTGCAGTCCAAGAATCCACCATATAAGAACATCAGTTGCTCTGAAACTCCGCAAAATGCTACGGCCTATTCGCAAAAATGCAAGCAGACACCTTCAGCACTCTTGGAAACATCCGAAGGCGAACTTCGTCATCCATCGTATCCACATTACTTGACCTTCAAGAGCACGGGATATTTGACGAACGGACTTCGGATTGGATCGAGAACTTGGAGATTATTTACCTCGGCTCCTCTTCCCAACGCCGTAAGCGGCGCTGGAATGGTGAAATAGTATGTGACAATGATAAAAAGACAAGGCTCCGGAGAGCACATGTCAATGCACACGACCAGAGGAACTATGTCGCTGTATCTTATACCTGGAAACCCCTTTCGAGCCAGCTATCCTCCCGTGGATCTTATCTGGTAGAATCTCTGGACACGAGATACCCGCGTGCAAGTCAAGTCCGAGATCAGGTGTTTGATAGGGTTATCGCATATGTCAATTACCTCAAAGATACGGAGACATGTGTCTGGGGCTTCTGGATCGATCAGGAATGCATTGACCAAAAGAACGAAGCGAAAAAGCAGCGTGCGATTCAATCCATGGAGCATGTGTACGCAAAGAGTGCCTTTCCAGTGGCGTTGCTGTCGGTGCGGATCCAATCAGAAGATCATCTAGAAGACTTGGTATATCTCCTTAAGAGAGAAAGCCCGCCGAGGAAGCGAGAGAAAGGTCGGGTCACTAGAATTCTCAACCTTTTGGATTATATCACGTCAGATCCATGGTGGGAAAGAGCGTGGACTTTCCAGGAAGACTATTGCTCGTCAGTGAGAATGTGCCTTTTGATTCCATATTCTTCCGCCTTGCAGGACTGTAAAAGGAAACACTGTGAAATATTTGGGGATTTGGATGGAGAACTTTGCATCACATCAGCGACTTTCGCTCTCAAGCGACCGAATTTTGCATGGATTATGGACAGGATCGACGATACAAAACCAGGTGCGAGGGAATCCTAGACCGCGCGGCAAAATACAATGTCCAGCTTCTAGAGCGTGGTAACGATGGACAACCCACAGTAAGGCGGTCCATGTCTCCACTAATATTCTCAAATGTCGGAAAGCGAATGATCACATGTGAGTCGGATCGTCTGGCAGTGATTGCCAACTGCTTAGGCTACTCTGTTCGATTGAATACCAAAAGGATGGACCAAGAAAATTGCAGTTTGAGCATTGCGATGCTGGCCTTATTCATACTGAACGGGGAAATTCTCATGAATGGCCCTGATAACCCTCGAGACGCAGTTCGAAGTACTATATTCGAGTACTTGACGGACCGGTCTCTTCACAACTTTCAGATACCTGATGTTAATCAAAAGCTTACCTTCATCAAAAATTGTCGTTTCCCTGAGGTCTACTTATCGGAAGAAGGTATTCTAACGTCTGGCCACCTCTGGCGCTTGGGCAAGATAGTCAGCGGCCCTAGGACAACGGGGGAACCACGTCGAGGCCAGGGTTATGGATTGAACAGCTACCGAAGAATGCGTCTGCGGCAGCTCGCTAGACATTTAGAATCGGGGGCTTGTGGACGTCGCTATGAATGTATTGCAAGCGCTATCGATGAATACCTCGAGAAAGACAAAAAGTGCGGCAAGGGCATCGCATTTTCCAAAGACTACAAGTATCTCATGGCAGAGGAAATTGTCAAGGCAATGGATGACCGACACTCAGATCGTCTTCGGCTGGGCTCGTTAATCTCGCAAGATGGCGGCTTTGGTAACAATCCGTACCGTGGAGTTTTTGCCAGAGAGGCAGGTCATCAGTGGGCAGAAGGACAAGCGTATATTTTCACCGCAGTACGTTCGGCTGAGATGAGTCCAGACGACATCGAAAAGCATGTCTCTTTAGAGGTTGAGTTGCTGAGTTCGCCAAGAAACGGCCCCAGACGGCTGATTATCAAACGCTGGATTAACGGGTTGTTCTTTTTTGATGGATCCCCGGTTACCGATGTTGTCTTTCCTTGGCCAAAATCCCTCTTGGTTTAAAAACAGAAAGTTGTTTATTGGTATTTGTGGCATTGGCTCTCAATATGAAATGTTTCGTATACACATCAAACGCAACACTAAAGCGTCGCTCCGATAAGGTTTCCCAGCTTCTCCTTGTCCAGAATCTCTCCTTCGACCAGCTTGCCAGTCTCGACAGTCTCGCCATTGACGCGTTCGTATCGCACTAAAGCCGGGATACAAGGGATCTTCCAGTTAGTCCGATAGATATTCTGTAGATCCTTCCATCTATAACCACGTCAGTACCATGGATAATCGTGTAAATCGCAAGCTGAAAATTACTCTGGCTTCTGTCCAACCTCAACCACTCTCAGGGCCGGTGTGTTCGGGCCGGAGAACGTGGCTTCAAGAACTGGCCAGGCGGCACGGACATCCGGGCACCAGGATTGACCGGTTACAGGGTCATCGGAAGTCACAAACACGATAAACGCCTTGGCGTCGGTGCCCTCGGGCAGCTCAAGGTGCTTTGGGGATGTGGGGAGGGGAAAGTCTGTGATGAGGGGCATTCTGGCTGTTATTGAGCAAATTCGCAAGATAGGAGGGGGAATTAATCCCGAGAACATGACAGAAAACGCCATTTGCGCCTCGATTCTGCCGATACAAACATTGAAGTGGGGTACGGCGGTGGCGATGACCCCGACTCCTATTGGTCGCAAGGCGGCCTTGGTTCCTGAACATCAGCAGGCGGAAAGACTGGTACTCATCATGTGATCTTCAATGTTATTATCATAGCGACGTGCCCCCTGTTAGATTCCTTTTAAGAAGGTCTCAATAGACCTGGGTATTTACATTCTAGGATGTTTCATTGGAATTGTAGAGAGAACGGCAAATATCCTTCCGCTACATGACTGTTTCTGATCCTGCAAATCAAAATACATAACACATCCACATCCACAAGCAGAATCAGGATAAGAATGCAAATGCCAACTCAAACCCACACAAGCTCGCCATTATTGTTTCCAATATGCTGAGCCAAGTTGATGCCCTGGCGCTCTCTGTCTTCCTGATCTTGCTCGGCCAGAACGGCGGTCAACCAAGGACCATCTTCACGGAAGTCGATCTCGATCTCGTGGGCGGTTTCTGAGAAATTCTCACCCGGGTAGGCGAACCATCCTGATGCATTGAAGGTCTGGGTGTTAGCATGATCCCCGAAAAATCAATATGATTGGACTATATATATGAAACCTACCGTCGCTGTTGCCGATCCTATCGTCGAGCCTGAGCTCCGCGGGAATATGTTCCCCTTCATTCACGGTTCCAGCAGCGGCGAGAAGCCAGGTGCCATCGTCGCGGACTTCAATCCGGATAAGCTCGCAGGATTCGTGGAAAGACATGGTGATTTTAATGGTTTTCAGAGATATTTAGTGAGAGTGTAATGGTTTGAGTGAGAAAATCAGGGTTGGAGGAATTTATATTCCAGCCTGCGCTTCAGATGGAGGGGTAACGACGAGGGGTGATGCGGCGCTTGGCTGCTACTATAGTGGGGCATAATATAATTGAAAGAATGTGTTTGCCTGGAAAGACGAGCATCCTGCATACAAACCCCACTGAGACGTGACACGTGGCAGTCAGCGACGATGAGAATCGACCAAGTGGTTGCAGGACGACTGGGATTGTATCACCCATGTGGGATGTTTTTCCTCCCTCACTTTTCCTCTTTTCCGGTTGTTTACGATTGTCTTTACTAAGAATCAGCCTCAAGATAGCCATCTTGGCCCAGAGTATATATCATCTTGTTTCTCACGTGTTCAGTAAGGATTGATTTTGTTCAGTCTGCCCCTTTCTCTTTTTTAGCGTTGATACCAGTAGTATTTATAGAACATGGCTGCGGGTCGGGTTTTTGACAGGCCGATCCACACTATATATCTCACAACTAAAGGAACCGTTTCTCTAGTCTTCAGCGGTCACTATTATATTATTATTATTACACCTTTGAATAAAATCAAACCGGATTCGGCCTATACACTCACTTCACTCGGAGACTCCTGCAGTTCAATGTATGGCAAAGACAGACTATCCGCACCTGTGGAGGTCTCCACCCTTTTTCCGGACCCTTCTATATCCGTCAGCAACCAAACTTGTAACTAAGGCATATGCTCTCAGTAGAGCCTTGTAGCGGTCCTTCACAGTAGCATTATGATTGCCAAAGTAATCGGCATTCTCTGATGTTCTCTTAAAGTGTCTTTTAGCGCCAAGGATAGAAAGGCCACGAGGAGTCTCCAAACTTGACCTCAATCAACGGCAACCGATATATATTTAGCCCATGAGCCTACTTTGGTCCGTGATAATCGCCAAGTGATGCTGGAGATACTTTGAGGTTAAAAGGTATTATAGTATGAATGACAATGCAATTCTAGACTGAATAGATACAACTTCTCTATAGACAAATGGTCTGGCTTACAAGAGACTTGGGTGCTTGCATTAGAGCAGCTCGCGTGACTCTTATCGCCTACATCTCTTCTTCTCCCTGGTACCTTTTCTATAATGTACTTAGTATTTTCATTGAATTGACCTACTGGCCATTGGGCATTAATAATTACATATCATTCATCTGACATTGACCTTTTGAACCAATTCCAGTATCGCACGTTGGGACTAATTTATCTTTCTAAACCTTTCTATAACAACAAGAGGACATTTATTGGAGCTCCTAGAGAGAATATACTACCAAAGACTGATATTACATGCTGTTCAAAGCGTACTTGCAGACAGCATGAATACAACCAAGATTCGTCAAGTGCGAAACCTTCCCCTACAAGCATAACTACCCTGTCTGTTGTAACAAGTTCTAAAGTACATGGAGTTTCCAGAGGCCTAAAGCCACATATTTGTATCCCGAAGCCTAGTTGTCACGCTTGGCCTTCTGTGATGACCGAATCCAGTTAGCACAGTGAAAACCAACAAAGGAGCATCGGTGGCACTTACGCATTTCTCAAGGTACTTCTTCTGCTCCAAGGCGCGGACGGTAGAATTGCACGCAACATCACACTGTATTGAAAGCATCGGCTATCAAGATCATTATCACGTTGATTAAACTGTGTTTTACATACAGCAACATCACACACAGGCCTTTTATCCAAAAGAGGCCTCATCATCCCGTGTTATATGTGAGAGTAAATGCTCCCCTTTCCAGTATGATAAGGTCTGAATGTGTCCTACATATCTTCCTTAAAATACTACCAAGTATAGCTCCTACTCCCATACTGTCATGTTCCCCCCCGGTGTATTCTTCTCTTTGAGAGTGTCGCAAACCGTATACGCTGTCGCTACATTCGCACTCTTGTGTGACGGGAAGCTACTGCACTACTAGATCTGTGATGATTGCTAGTCTGACCATTACTAAAGTTGCCCATTCCTACTTTACCGCATTCGACCATGTTCCGCGGGAAGTATCCATTGCGATGTTTTCCTCATGCATCTCCCTCGTAGCCGTCGCTTATATGGCTTATAGCTCCCTCTCCCCTTCGCAAGGTACGGCCGATATCCTAGCTCACAAGGACCGTACTGAGCGCCAGCTAAGTCTGACCAAGGCATGCAAATTTACCATCCATTGGCTTGTGTCTTTCGTATCCTTGGTGGCATTTATCTGCTTCGCAAAGTTCCTAGCAGGAGCTTCCGAATGTGACGGCTCCATATGCGTGGTGACGAAGATATCTACAGTTGTGATACCTTCAGTTATGCAGTATGGGCAGCTGCTATTACACTAATTGGCATTGACATATCCAAGGATAACAGGAGGGCGAATGCTGCGTTGCAAGAAAAGCTGAAGGCTTTGGAAGATAATTAACTCGTGTATGGTATTAACAACCATACATGACCGAATATCAACACTGCATGATCGTTGGATAAGAAAGTGGTAATTAATAGTTCCGTCGAGGCTTGTACTGAATGACGTGGAATCATGTATCTTTTAGTGGTGTCATTCTGACTCTCGGTCAATGTAGGTAGCAGTACAATGACTTTGTATTATTGTAAATCAACACTCCCCGTCCCTGTTCACTTGTGGAATTTGTATAAGGCAAAGCACGTTAACGGAACCCAATATCCGACCGCTGCAGATGTCTTGCGGTAATCCTTTCAGTATGATAACCCTGTTGTGACGTACAGAACGTCAGAAATAGAAGATCCACTGAATTACGGCGTTGTGAATTTTAAATCATTTTTCAAGATATTTAAAAGTACGTCCCGGGATTCCATCCCTACATTATACTGCAAGGGGCCAGTCGCCCCATGGCACTTTTCACAGTCACGTTTCTAATAGCAAGCCTTTCGCTGAAATAAGCTCTATCGAAGCTTTTCTCATCCTTCCCCGTAGATAAACACAAACAGCTGCTTAACTTTTATCACTATTTTGCCTTTCGCTGATTTCTACGGTGGAATGCTATTACGCCTCCAGACCCCGCACACGAACACAAAACAATAAAATGCACGCCGGCCGAACTTATATAGTGACCGGCGGCTCATCGGGAATGGGCCTCGCTGTCGTCAAAAAGCTCCTGGGGCTATCAGCCACAGTTCACGCCATTGACAAAGCCGGACAGATGCCGACTATCGACTCCGAGCGACTTCACTTCCATCCCAATATCGACATCAGCTCGCACGAAAAAGTGACACAAACTTTCCAATCAATCATACAACAATCCCCAGTGATCAGCGGCCTAGTCAACTGTGCAGGCATTCTGCTCCCCTCCAGCATCCTCGAACCAGTGGAGAACTTCAACAAAGTGATGGCAGTTAACGTCGGCGGAACGTGGAATATAGGCACGGCGTACCTGCGCTATGTCTTGGAGCAGCACGCAGACACCATCAGCAGGGCGAAGGAAGGATCAGTCCAGA